ACGGTTAGCTACAAATGTACCGCAACATAGTTGAACGAAAGGATTTCCATTCAATTAGTAATAGTAGAGCCATCGTGTTTCACATTTTTAATCCCGCAAGGGATTGCGCTAACAGCTTTTTCAACAAAATTCATTGTATTCAAACGAGACTTATTATCTGTTAGTCTCATATTAACTCAAGCAGAATGTAGTTATGTTTATATTATATTTTCATTATCGAAAAAATATATCATATTTTGAAAAATTCACATTTGCCCGATTGTTATAAAGATATTTGAATAGATTTAAAATAAGTATTGATTTTCTAAATATCCATGTAAATATAGCTCCTTTATGTCTATAGATAGTACAATTTTAAGCTAAATACTTGCTTGAATTAAGATGAGACTAACAAATAATAAATCTATTTTGAATACAAGTAATTTTTCGTGAAAAATATTGTTTAAATATTATCCATTAACAAAACTTAGTTGTTTGTTTTTTTTTCTTTAAGCGAGTTCAGTAACTTCTAATATGTATAAAATTTTTGTTCACAAAAGGGAAGAGATCTTAATAAATTAATATCAAGGTAATTATATATACTACTGATGTATTTTCATTTGATGATTTTTCCGGAGTGAGAAAAGATTGATCATTTTTAACCAGAGCTTTTCTCATATGAGCTCAATTAATCAATGAAAAAAATAATACGTTCGATATGAGTATGGGTAATGTTCACTTTGATGTCGCGATCAGTTGAACAGTACCAAATATTATTTTTCATCAATTTCAGACATTTTGATTGATGATGTATTGAACTAATTATTATTCTTCAATTATTTCTTCACTGATATGTGCGAGATCAAAAAATCATATCGCAAAGGCATTAGCCAATTTTTTATTTTCGTGTATCAAATCTATTATAAATCCGGTAATTCACTTTAAAATTGATTATAAAAATTTATATATTGCAGATCTTGTTGAAATAATCTTAATTACTGGCTCAATATAATTTATTTGAACATAGGAAAAAAAATAATCGATAAAGAAAAGTTAATTTCACTTGACCTAGTTTGTAAACTATCTCTATAACAAAAAATAAGAAGAATGAAGACAGTTATTTATGAATCAAAATTCATTGATTATATATTCGCCTTGTCGTTCTTTAAATTGTCAGACCTACATCGATAACATATTTTCGATCCGTAGAAGTATGGATGAGGGTGTGCGTGAAAATATGGCCCACATTCACATCCAAACTTTCCTTTTGATCTTATAAAACATCGTCAAAACAAGTCTATAGGATTTTGTTTTTCTAGTTTTGTAGAGAACTCACCAGTGCATCTTAAAAAGAAATCATAGTACCATATTTTGTCTTTGTCAAGTTATATACAAAATAACCAATGTTGTAATCATTTTGCTACAACCGATCTTTTTCATTAATAATATTAGTTGACGATACTCTTTCCACAGAACACACGAATTTTCAAATTGTGTATTTTGCTTCAAAACCTATTAAACGTTGAGCGAAATCTAGCACTATTCGTAGTCATTTTCTTCATATAATATTTTCTTTTTAGAATGTCTAATTACAAGAAATGATTTACAATCACGAACAAACAACAATAGAATCGTAGCTTCTTACAAATATAGTTACATAATAAATATTCTGTTGATTGGTACTCAAAAATGTTTCACAGTACTCTTATTGATTCGATGGGATTTTCATAATACTTCCTCATTTTATGCTATGCTTTTCAATAGTTCTCTTCATAAGTCTTTTGTTCTACGGTTTTGAATGCGTCAATTAAGTAAACATGAAGGGAATAAAATAAAATCATCGTGATCTATGAAAGTTCCAGTGTCTTATATTGACGAAGAATTTCGATAAGGCTTTACGAAAGACTTTTCCACCAGCCAATGTATAAATATAAAATGGCATTCCATTTGATAAGAAATGAAGTAATTGAGCAAGATTATAAACTAAATTGTCAATAGCAACTTGCAATGCAGATAGTGTTCTATCAGCCATCACTACTGAGTATAACTTCTGAAAAGCCAACGGAAGAGATAATATGAAAAGAACAAAAATTTGTACGAGAAGCATAATTAATAGATTATAATCTTGTTTGGTTAATCGACGTTGTTGATTCGTATTGGCTGTCATCGTATTTGTTATCATTGATGTATTTTGATTAGCAACTCGACCTCTTGATTGACGAATATTGCAGATGGTCATTAAACCGAACATTAACATCAGAGGTAAAGGAAGAATAGTAAGAACCATAAATGACATATCCGTTATGAATCGACATGCTATTGTTATACCATAACATTTCTGTGGAGCATTAATACGATTTGGCTCATGACAATAGATAACATGTGAAAAAATCATAGTAGCTAAA